ACCCCACAGTTCTCAAGGAACTGGCAGATGTGATATCGGAGCCACTGAACTATATTTTTCAAAGATCCTGGAACACAGGGGAACTACCAGAGGACTAGAAAAGAGCTGATGTAGTTCCCATCCTCAAAAAAGGAAAAAAAATGGATCCAGGAAATTACAGACCTATCAGCCTGACCTCAATACCTGGGAAGATCCTGGAAAAGATAATCAAACAATGAATCAACGAACACCTAGAGGCAAACAAAGTCATTACTAAAAGCCAACATGCGTTTGTCAAAAATAGATCATGCCAGACAAATCTTATTGCATTCTTTGATCAAGTGACAAAATTAGTGGATCAGAGGAATGCTGTGGACATAATTTACTTGGACTTCAGTAAGGCATTTGATAAAGTAGATCACAACCTACTACTTGACAAGATAGAAAACTGTGGGGTAGACAGAACCACCACCAGATGGATCCGTAGCTGGCTGACCGGCCGTACTCAGCGAGTGGTCCTCAATGGAACTGCATCTATATGGGGGGAAGTGTGTAGTGGGGTGCCCCAGGGCTCTGTTCTGGGCCCAGTGCTCTTCAACATCTTCATCAACGATTTGGATGAAGGGATAGATGGGGAACTCATCAAATTTGCAGCCGACACCAAGCTGGCAGGAATAGCCAACACTCCAGAAGACAGGCTTCAGATACAGAAGGATCTGGACAGACTTGAACACTGGGCACTAACTAACAAAATGAAATTCAATGTTGAAAAAAGCAAGGTTCTACATTTAGGCAAGAAAAACCAAATGCACAAGTACAGCATAGGTGGCACCATGCTCAATAGTAGTAACTGTGAGAGGGACCTCGGAGTCCTAGTGGACAATCACTTAAATATGAGCCAGCAGTGTGCTGCAGCTGCCAAAAGGGCCAACACAGTGCTAGGCTGCATTAACAGAGGGATAGAATCAAGATCACGTGAAGTATTAATACCACTCTTCAATGCCTTGGTAAGGCCACACTTGGAATACTGCATCCAGTTTTGGTCACCACGATGTAAAAAAAATGTTGAGACTCTAGAAAGAGTACAGAGAAAAGCAACAAAGATGATTAGGGGACTGGAGGCTAAAACATATAAGGAACGGTTGCGAGAATTGGGTATGTCTAGTTTAACGAAGAGAAGGACAAGGGGGGACATGATAGCAGTATTCCAATATCTCAGGGGCTGCCATAAAGAAGAGGGAATTAAGCTCTTTTCCAAAGCACCTGAAGGCAGGACAAGAAGCAACGGGTGGAAACTAATCAAGGAGAGAAGCAACCTAGAACTAAGGAGAAACTTCCTGACAGTGAGAACAATTAATCAGTGGAACAGCCTGCTCCAGAAGCAGTAAATGCTCCAACACTGGAAGTTTTTAAGAAGAGACTGGACAGCCACTTGTCCGAAATGGTGTAGGGTTTCCTGCCCGAGCAGGGGGTTGGACTAGATGACCTCCAAGGTCCCTTCCAACTTTACTACTATTACTAACAACTGAAATAAATGAGCACCAATGACTCCCTGGTTCAACCTTAGATAGATTCCCTTCTGTTGGATGTTTTTATTTTTCAACAAAAACCTCTAGGCTTCCCCTATGTCAGTGGAAATCTCCGGAACAGTTTCAGTTCTGACCTTCAAATTAATGAAGCTAATATTATCACCAAAACTCATTTTTCCCCACCTTAGGTTATTTGACCAGTACAATCTGTACATGCAGTCCTCAACTTACGATCATTTGTTTAGCAACTGTTCAAAGTTACAGCATGACTTACAATTATTTTTCTGTAAACAAACAAGTGCAAACAACTGTTTACACTTATAACCGTTGCAACAGCCCCATGGTCACGTGATCAAAATTCAGGCACTTGGCATCTGGCATGTATTTATGATGGTTGTCTTGTTCCTGGGGCACGTGATAACCTTTTGTGATCTTCTGACAAGCAAAGTCAGTGAGGAAGCTAAGTTACTAACTTAATAATTGCATTGGGTCACTTAAGAACTGTGGAAAGAAAAGTCATATAATGGGACAAAGTTCACTTAACAACTGTCTTGCTTAGCAATGGAAATTTTGTGCTCAATTGTGGGTCGTAAGTCGAGGTCTATCTGTAATGTTATATTTTTCTTCACACTTTCAGTGGGATAACTCTGCATCAATCGGTAACATTTTGAAGCCAGCAGCACCTTTGCTGTTTTTTTGAAAGCATGTACAAAATGGCTGATAGGTGGGATTCATAACAATGGCTGCCATCTTGGGCCTGGTAGCCCAGAGTGATCTTTTTTTCCCCCTATCCTATCCCTTTGCCTGAGGTTTCTTCCTCTTCCTGCCTACTTTTGACACTTTCCTAGGCACACCTCCAAACAAAGAACAGAACTAAAATTACTCTCCATTTCTACTTTCTAAGAATGCTTACAGGGTTGGTGTTACAGCATGTTCATAAATAAAAATGACCCTGTCATCTGGGGGTTTGCTGTGCTTTCCATTAGATTGGTCAGAACTCCCTGTCTATGTTTTTAGACCTACCAGGCTGCCTATCTGTGGCCTTGGTTGCAGTTTGCTTCTGGGTTCAATTCAAGGTCCTTTAAAACCCTTTATTGCTTGGGACCAGGCTTTCTGAGGGACCTTCTCACCCCTCATTAGACCTGGCAGAGAAGGCATACTTTGGGTACCATCAGCTAGGGATCTACATTTGATGGGCCCCAGGAGACATAAGGTGAGCATCATCTGCCATGATGCCCACCTTATAAAACATCCTTCCCTTCCCAAAATTAAATTATCTCCATCCCTTTTGATGTTTCAGAAGACCCTCAAGAACTAGCCATGTCATTAGGCTCCCAGGGAACCAGAGATTTGCTTAGATGGCCCCATTGTTGAGGTAATCATTTTTAATCCTCTTTTCACCTAGGAGTTTCTCTGTTTGTTTTTTCATATTGTTTATTTCTTAATGTAATTTTTTTATATTTTGTTAATACCTGGTCTTTATCCAACCGTGCACTCTCCAGAGTCACTTTTGAAGAGATGGGAAGCTATACAAATTTGATAAATAAATAAATATGCAATTTCTTGTGATACGTTGAAGCTATGAGGAAAGCACAGATGTAGTAACCAGGAAATAGATTGTTACATCGTTTCTGTAATGTTGACCACAGAGGATTATAGTGTGTATAAATTATGGTTGACTTATTTTGTGTTCAGGGAATATGAAAGATGCAGAGATTATGATGCAGAGATTATGTTGCCTAGCGAAAGCACAACCATCTAATCCCACTTTCAGTTAAATACCTTCCAAGAATATTTCTTTGGCATTTTTGTGAGTCTCTGCATCCATGCTTTTATATTTTAATATCTCCACTATTACCAAGGGGTATGCAGAACTACTGGGTGCCAAACACTGCCAAATTAAAGTGAATAATACTTATTTCTAAACCCTATCATGAAATAAATCTTGTTCTAAATATCATTCAGTGAAATGACATTCCAAAATAGCTTCTTAAAAAACTGTCAAGGTGATTAATATTATGTTTGCAAAGCAAGTAGATAGCAGACTCCTTGTTGCACAGTGGAAAAGATATTTTCTAGTTGCGTTCATTGAGATATTGGTAACATCTTATCTAATAACTGAAAATTCTAGTATGACAGAATGGATTTATGAGGACTAATATCTTGGAAAATATCATGAGGTAAGGCACTGCATAACTGGATGTAAGAACCAGGGTAAAGAGGTAAAAGATTGCACCCAAACTTTGTAACCCAAAATCAATAAAGAAGTAGCTATGCTGGTTGGTTTTTGGGAGGAGGGGTGTTGGCAAAAAACTCTACAACAACAGAAATCTAAGAATTTTATGGAAGAGCTTTCTTTTCACATACACGTTCTTGAATCACAAGCCGCTTTGGAAACCATTCCCTAGGGAGGAATGTTTTCCATATAGATATTTGCAAGTGGAGGAAAAATAAAAGTATTTCAGTCGTAGGAAAGAAACACAACTACATTATTTCCCTGGTGGCTGTTTAAAAGAGACTGAAAAGATATTCCATATGCTTTAATACAAAAGGCCCCACATTTAATTTCTGGGATTTCCTTTTAAAAGGAGGTTAAGCAGCCAGGTTGATAGCTGCTGGGCCAGGGAGAGTGTCCGAGTGGCCCGTGAGACATTGGGGAGCCTAGGGCAGGGGTAGGCAATCTTGGCTCTTTTATGACTCGTGGACTTCAACTCCCAGAATTCCTGAGCCAGCATGGCTCAGCTTGGAAACCTCTCTCTTTCCCCTCAGCATGGCTGGCTCAGGAATTCTAGGAGTTGAAGTCCACGAGTCAGAAAAGAGCCAAGGTTGCCTACCCCTGGCCTAGAGGATTGCTGCTATTTGGAGAAGGGTCTGTCCATGGCCTGCATGAGTGAGATGAGCCTGCGGGGGTGGCTGCTGCCAGGGGCGGGGTAGGAGTGTGCAAGCAACTTTCAAGATGACTTGTGATCTTCCCTGCCGGCTTCCTTATTGCCTTTGCTTGGGGAAAGCTGGGAGGGAAGGTCACAAAGAGTGGTCATGTGACTACAGGACAATATAGCCTTACTAAGTATGAACCAGTTGCCAAGCACTCAGATTGTGATCAGGTGACTGCAGGGGTGTATGTGTGTGTGATGGCCAGAACTATGAGGACTGATTATAAGTCTCCTTTTTCAGCACCCTTATATCTTAAAAAAAATCGCTGAACACATCGTCAGTAAGCAAGAACTATCTGTAATGAGTATTATTAGTTGCTGTGTTCCTGAAATGATATAATAGTTCAAAACTATCCTTGTCTTGAAGATAGATTTTGGTGGGTCCATCCATTTGCCTGCATTATTATCCCTCTGACAAAACACTTGCATTTGGATGCATAAACCTATATAATATTGGGGTTGTTTTTAAAAAAAACCCAGTGTATTCAAAAGTTTTGAGCTGTCTTTAAAGTGGATGGCTTTTGCAAGAAGGATAATTTTACTTATTTATTTGTAACAGGTTTATACTAAAAAACACACTGCCCCACACTGCAGAAGCCCTGGATGCTAAAGGAATTGGAGCTACATCTTTGCTTTTTGAGATGCCTTTTCAAGAACAGAAGCGTGAAGCTGCAAATATCATCAATGTCCACAATTTAGACCAAACACCTGGACACCAAAAAGTGGAGTCTGGATTTTGTTGCTCCTGGCCAGAGAAACAGCACCTTTGTCAAGAAGAAGAGAGCGAACATGCCACTCCTCTTGATCACAGTTTGGGCAGCTTGAAACATCAGCAGAGGCCTTTGCACATTGTTTGGCCTCACAGATGGTGAGTGTAACATCCACACTGAGATATTATGTTGAATAGAATTTGAATTTGGAAACCGTGCTATTTTGGTCTGGTGATAAACCTTTTAGAATTTTCTTTTCTTTTCTTTTAATATTCATACTAATACAGGGGTGTCAAACTCAATTTCATTGAGGGCCGCATCAGCATTGCGGTTGCCCTCAGGGAGCTGGGTGGGTGTGGCCAGGGTGGGTGCAGCCTGGGTGGGCATGGATGGAGTGGGTGTGGCCTACTGGGTGGGTGTGGCCAGCTCTACATCATTGGCGTCAAGGGTGCCTGTGGGGGCCTGGGCAGGAGTGGGACAGATCTGAGAGTCTCTGGCAGAAGGGGGTGGGACCCGGGAAAGTGCCATGGCATGGTCCACGGGAGGAGCCTCATTGTTCCTCTCAGGCCATGGGGGGGGGCTTATGGAGCTAAGACTGAATGCGTTTCAGCATAGATGGCCACCACAAAATTGTACATTGGCTCCCAGCTGGCCTGAGCCAGGGCCAAGGCAAAGGGGGCCATTCCCTCACTGTTTCCAGGAAGGCTTTGCGGGCCACATGAAACCACTACGCAGGCCGCATCTGGCCCCCGGGCCTTGTGTTTGACATGTCTGTACTAATAGAAGAGAATATCCATAGGTCAGGGTTGAACTGTGGAGTCCTTGGCCTCTCCGAGCTGGATTGGTTGTTTGCAGGCTTTTCTTTATCTGACTAGGAAAGATCATCAGTGCTACTGAGTGTGGGGTTGGTTCCCTGTTATTTACAGTAGCTTTCCTTACCAGTGTTAGTGGGGATGTGGTTCTCTCCTTTGTAGTTCCTTGAGTAAGGTATTGTTTTGTGCTTGTTTTTTCTGGAGTTAATCATTGCTTATCTAGACTCATAGAGATAAATTACATTTACACATCATACTAAAGAGACAATAAAAAAACTAAGAAGGAAACAAAAGGAACACATCCTCTTCAGCAGGGACAAACAATCAAATCAGACCATCAACTGAACAATCAATAGCCTGGTCAAGGAACTCCAAGAAGAAAACCACACCCCCACCAACACGGGCAAGCTACTCTATTTAACAGAAAGCAAACCCCACACTCCATAGCACTGATGACGTTATCTAGATGGTAATAAAATGTCTGCAAACAACCAACATCAGAGAGCACCAAGGTCTCCAGAATTTAGTATGTTGGTTAGAGAATGAAGTTTGAAAATCATTGTTTAAAAAAAAAAATACAGATGGAAGGAACTGAGCATCCATATGTGGACAAGAAACATGGGATGGCATTAAAAATATGAAAACTGCTGAAAATCCTGCCTGAAAGCAGCTCTGTCCACTAATAATGTTTAATATGCAGTGCTATTTTTTAAAAAAATCTTAATTATCCTAATGTGACTGACTAGGTGTTAATATTCAAGACCATACTATGCTATTTGCATCTTCAGTTTAAAATCTATCTTTCCTGCAATTTCTTCTTCTTTTTTTTTAGAAATCAGCATATGCTTATATGTAGGCTTAGAGGGAATGGAATAGGCTCTAAGAAAGCCGATGCTTTTCAAGCTGTTGACCTGATCACCAAATCTTTTCTAAACTGAAGTAAATCTACCCTCCCACGTAATCACTTACAAATAGATAAACTTTAGCTTGACTCCTATCATAAATTAGGATTTAAAGAGGTAAAATGTCCCGATAATCTTCCGGTATTGGGCACCAACATTTTAATCTAGTATATTTTTTTTCCCCTCACAGTTCGCTTAATCTGCATGTGGCCTGATTAGAGTTCACTTCATCCACAGATTATACTGTGTTTATTTTTGAGATGCTGGGTCGATCAGTAGGTCAGATTTTTCTGAGAGCAACGGTTTGCAGGTGAAGCCATAAGAGCACCACACCGACCAGGCAAATCGCCTTTGTGGAGGATTTGACTTCCAACACATTAAAACTCCAGAAGCTCTCCCAGATGATCTGCAGCATCTGGTACCTAAAGGGATTTTCATCTTTGACTCCAAATGTCTGAACATAAAAATTTAGGGATTGGAAGTCGATGTGGAATCCGTCTTTGGATTTGTTTAATCAACTTCACACTTCTCACATGATGTTTCTCGGGGAGCTACATTTATTTTTAGTCAAATTTAATTGCCGTCAGCGCCAAAAAAATATATATGCTGCATTCTCATAGGCTGTTTTACAGTGTGGTATGCTTGTGACATGTATTGATTGCCATTCCATTAGTGATTAGGAACTTGAAGTTCATAAATCTAATAGCAGGGGATGCTAGTTGGTTGAATTTTTTTCCTTGTGACAAACGGCTATATTAAGATACATGCTGAAACTTTTATAGATTGTGAGGTTTCCTTTTGGGGGGGGGGATTGTTTTTTTTTCCCCCTAGGTATTATTAAAAATAAATAAATTGCAGGGTAAGTGAAAAAGAAAACATACTCCTTAATTATTATGCCTATTGTATAAAGGAGCACAAAGCTAAATTAATGAAATGAGCAATATTCAGTGAAATAATTCCTTTTCTTTCTGTGTATTTTTAGGTCCTTGTTTTGTTTAATTTAATTTTGTTGCCTAAAGTTAGTTGCTTAAAGAGATGCAGGCTTCTATTTGCATGCATCCTTATTGTTTGAGCTAAATTATTTTTAATTTGGAGAAGAGGAGAAGCCACATCAGCAAGATCAAATGCCAAAATATAAAAGTAACACATTCACCCTTACGGGTAATATAGTAGAACATTGGAAACTTGGAGGTTGCCAGACACACAGCTAACATTAGGGCTAATTTTGAAAATCTAGTGTGCAGTCAATTTTACTGATGCCTGGGGACATACAAGGTAGAAGCTGACAAGAGAACTAATTTTGTTTGGGTTATTTACTGCTATGCATCATCCAGGGTTCCCGCCTGACACACAGCTATATGAAGGGGAATATTATCACATACTAAAAATTTATGTTGACATTCGATATTTGTTCAATATGTCAGCAGTATTACTTTCATAATCAAAAGAGTGAGGAGAAAAGAGAGGGGGGGAAAGGCACGTTATGCTCATATAGATATATCTTTTTAATAACCGTCTATAAGGTTAATATAGTTTACCTTTGAGGGTATACAATGAAAACAAGCAGGGTGAGCCGGGAAAATGACAGAAAGCATCAACCGGGGCTGTTTGTTTGCCATTACCTAAGCGAGCCATGTCAGCTCTCTGGTCCGCGTCTGATAGCTATTTGTTGTACAGAGAGCACAGCATAAAAAAAGGAAGGAAAAAAAAATATCAAACTCTTAATACTATTGTGTGCCCATAACCATCTGTCACTGCTAGCCTGGAGATGAGAGGAAGATTACGAGGAATAAACACTGAGCGGCTGAGCATTGGTAAAGCCTTCAGGCAAAAAACTCTTGTGGGGACATCAAAGACATTCTAATTCCGAGGCAGTCAAGGATTACAGTGTGTAACCTGTGCTGACAACAGATAAATGACTGGCAATATTGTGCCAGAGCTGTTGGGTCCTGCGTGGAGTCCTGATGGTGATGGTGATGGTGATGATGTTATCTTGCGGAATGGACTCTGCTGAGATAATTTTATGGTAAAACACTTTTTTTTTCAAATGCCACTGGGTCTAGGCAGACATTGACTAGCTATGGGGGTAGCAATCAGTTTCCTCAAAATTTACTGTTCTAAGCCCATTAGAGTTCCAGCGCAGCCAGGCTTTGCAATGAAAATCCAAAATGCCAGTATTTCCATGTCAGAAAAGAAGCACGTATGCAAATGGTTGGAAGGCTTCGATTCTCAGCATTTAGTGTTGGGATATTCCAGCAAAATGATTTATGTAAATATGCTCATAAAAATGCAATTACCCCTTCCCTCTCTCTCTCTTTCTCTCTCTCTCTTTTTAAAAATGATAAATATGAAATAGTAAATTAAAAAAAAATTTAGTTCAACCTGTTAGTCATGGGAAAATAATGCCAGCGGAGAACCTGCATCGCACAGGTAAATACAATAGGCTATGCTATTGGAATGAAATGCACACACACACACACATACACACACATACATCATTCACCGCATTAGCAGCTAACAATTTTCTGCGCCTTATTCAGGCATTAGCAAATTGAAATATTCCCTTCTGAGGTCCTGGAATGATCTCATTAAACAAACACCAGGTTTTGGTAATTGATGTAATAAGGAGGATGTGGAGGAGCTGAGTAAAAGTATTGTCAAAGTATGCTGCCACTCTTTCAAGATTCTAGACTTTCTCACTGCAGCCATTTCCCTGCACAAGAATACTAGTACGACTTGAAAACTGAAAAGCGAGTAATATATATATTTATTTATATTTATTTATTTTTATTCAGTATTCCGAGATTTCACCTCACCTACGTCTTTTCTCTCTTACAATAAAACAATACCTCATTGTGATGTTCCGCACCAGAATCTCCAAATGTTTCTCACCTTGTTTTGTTGGAAATGAATGGCCTGATCCTTTGGCCTCTTGTGCCAGCAAGAGTCTGTGGAGAATCAAAACCTTTTTTCATCTGCCAGAGCAACGCTGTGACTTGTGGCTTTGCTTCACTGTTGAGACCAAGCCAAGCCAGCCCAAGCTAATTTGGCTGCTTGAGGTGAAGGACAGGACATTGCATCCCCATTTCACATGCAGATGTCATTTAGGCTGCAACTGAATTATGCTTCAACATTTGCATCCAGGCAATATTCGTAGTTGCATCTTGGTACAGGGATGCAATGCAAGCTGCAAAATAACCAGAACTTTCCTCCGATTCTGCACCATTCCCCATCCTTCGGCTTTTACTACATAAAGAAGCTACCCTCAATCAATGCTACTGTACATCATAGTAGGCCTTAGCCAAAGGCAAGCTGAAGTACAACAGTAGTTAGCTGTGATACAACATCAGCTAGGTTTCTGAGATTGTGACTATACAATCAAATATTACAGATTCCTTCCTGCTCCTGTTGCAGTTACTGTGTTTGAGACCCACTTTCAGAATT